ATTTTCAAAGTGTGGAAATAGAGGAGAAAATAGTTTAGGTGCTACCAATGCTGATAATGGGGTGACGACAGGGTCCGACAACTGATCCCTGCAAGAAGATAATGAACACTTTTCTACAACCTCACAGCACATGTTTCTATTTAAGAGTCAGCCAAATCCTAAAATGTTAAATAATGATACATGATAGAGTGACTTTCAGAGATCTCTCACCATCTCTTTGAAGGCGTTCTCTATGGCTCCTATCACCAAGCTCTCATGCTGGACCTTCTTCTCAGTAAAAAAGCGTGGGGGAGGCGGGGTGCTGCTCGGGGAACCCGGCGTACCAGTGGCCCCGCGCAGCGATGCGGCACGGGTCAGGGCTCGATGAGGGCCTGGGGTGTTTCCCTGGAGGTAGGGGTTGTTTTCGGGCTCCTCGCCCAGGACGGTCGGGGGTAGGGAAGCTAGGTTGCGTAGGATCTCGATAACGGCCTGGAGCTGGCAGGCGATATGGTGCTGCAGTAGGCGAGAGGCGACAACTGCTGCCCCTGAACCAGCGTGTCCGTCAAACAAGGCCCAGTAGTGGAACACCAGTCCCTCACTGTCCTGCAGACACATACAAAAAGGAGCTCACATCAAGTTCAATAGCACACAGTTATAAATGAACACATTCAACCACACAATCCTGACAAAAATGTTAAGGGAATTTTTGTGTCCCACCCACTGTATGTCACTGTAAAATTGTTTATTATAAAGCCGAATTCCCCAGTGGATTATGAATTAGAGGGATGCTTTGAAGTCAGTAGGAGTTTGGATGTATGTGGAGTCTGGTTTGAGCCACAGAAATCATTACAGTATTGTTGTCTATTCCAGTGGAAACAGGGCGTCAATGGAAAATACTGTTGAATCGTAGGTCACTCCCTTAGATAACAAGTGACTACACTATTTGATTTCAAAACGGATGTGACTCAGTGTTAACACAAAAATTATCTGGCCTTTTTAATTTTGTAGTAACGAGAAATTGTGACCTGATAGCAAAGCAACAGTAGTCCAAATGGAATTTACCCGAAACAGGTCATACCTCAAGCAACTCACTCTAAGTTAATGGCATTTTTTGTGGATACTTAAATAAAAGCTGAATGACTAATGCTGCTGGTTTGACTGTTTATTATGTGTGAGTCATCTCTGGGAGGAGAGGCCCAGGAGAAACATCATGACTCATCCTGTCCAATAGTGCGTGGTAGCTGCAGAGGTCACTTCTCTCCTCACTTCTCCCTCTTACACCTATGTCAGGTCTGTGCCATCACACACTCTGCTTGGTATTACCTGACCTTGAATACACATTCTCTGTCCAATAAAGTCCGATAAAGCTCGCTATCAGCGTTGTTCGTAGATATAGAGTGCCACTGAGGTCACGCTACAAAAATATTAGACTTGAAAGAGATCCAAATCAGAATTATTCCAATAGATTCCATGTGGTCTGTAGCTGTTGACACAGTCATGAATGTTTTTTTTTTACCTGAGTCACATGAGCATGAAAATCTGATTTGGACCAGCTGCAGCTTGAACATGCCCATAAACAGCTCCACATCTACAGTACTGGATATGAACATGCACTCCAATGGCTCACCACTGAGTAGCTCCACTGGTTAGGTCACTGCCTCCTGCATTGTTCATGAATGCATATTGTTTGTTTGTGCATAGCGTGTATGTGTGTATTTGTGTTTTCTTACCTCTCCCAGCTTGCCGTGCTCCATGCGGAGCCCCAGGCCCTCTCCGTTGGGCAGGGAGTTGCGTCTCTTGGCCGTGGGGGTCTTGCTGGGCGTGGAGGGAGGGCAGTAGCTCATTGGCCTCCTTCTCGCTACAACCACCTCGCAGCAGGCCTGGTCCTCATTCAGTGCACTCTTACCCGCATTAATAACCCTGAAACAGGAAGTTTGTCTATAGTCATCCAGTGGTCCTGTTATATAAAAATCACATTTGGCAACACACTTTCGGCATTCTTTTTTTTTGTCCACCTAAAATTTTGCTACAAGCAACAGATGCACCACGTGCTGTGATTTCCCAGTCTGACAGCTGTGGTCTGTTGAATGAAAGCCGGCATCAGATGCTTTTTGTTGGATGAAATGGTACTGCAGTCTTTCATGGTTATTATGGCTCACTGCAGGATCACAACAATTAGTCTGAGCCACAGCCTGAGGTTTTTATCTGCAAACCCAGGGAAGCAGCGGGCTTTGTACGTTTCATTTTCCTGATGAAGCTCAAACGGGAGGGCTTGTTTGTAGTACTGCTCGGTGTCTTGATGCATCGGGACAGTCGCTTCTGGGTGAATTGCAAGTCTTTGTTTGTGTGCGATTGTACATACATGCCCAAACCTGTGTGTGTATTACCTTATTTGTCTTTTTTCCCCCACTTATTTAACCAGACAGACCACAAAGAGAGATGGGAGCAAGAAGAAATGTAACCCAGTAACAATTAAGGATAGCCACAGAATAAGTGTGCTTTGCATAGAAGGAAAACATGTCTCTATTTCCTCTTTTTTTTCAGATTCCAGGATTTGACAACAATTTTTAAATCACTTCTGTGCTGCTTTTTTGTGCCGTCGCCACAATCGGTACAAGACAATGCCTGGAATATGAGCAGGGCCGTGCTCATTTTAGCTTTGTCACGTTAGCATGCTGACATTAAAGCACCACCCTGAGAGGCACTGGCATGGCTGTAGACTCTAAGTTAAATTGTAACATGTAATTCCCATTGCTAAATCCCACCCAAAACACCAAGAACAAAACCTTGATGTCTGCAATGTTAGCTATGGCCCTGACTGTAAAAGTCATCCCATTACTTAAGACATTTGTTCACACAGATGTAACATTTTAAAGACGTAATGTAAAAATGTGTCTTTTACTGGCTCAAAGGTCACTAAACCTGCTGAATAACAGCTAATTATAGTACTTGGGCTACTGATAAATGGTGAAAAAATAAGATTGTGGAGACTCCAATGAGACTGGCAAGTGAGGCAGACATCTCTGGAGGGTGTTGTGAGGGTGTGTGTGTGTGTGTGTGTGAGAGAATTGAAAAATTGGCCTATTTATAGACACAGACTCTGGGTGTTTTCTGCTAGGCAGCATCATTGCCTGGTTCTCTGCCTCAAACGCTTGTTAACCTTAGACAGAAAAAGACAGATAGAGATCCTTAGCGTTCACATTTATGGACATTTATATTGATTTTGTTGTTCAAATTTTTCATTGGCGCCCTGTTTTTATGTTATTCTACATACTTAGTGATAGCTAATCCGTGCAAATATATGTGAATAAAGCATTTTTGAATTTGAGAGAGACTGAGGGAGAGATAGAGTGAGTAGGACAAAGAGATATTATATTAAAAGCCTTGTGTAGCTGTCCACTACACCTGTGGAGATTCAATTCAGTTCAATAAATTTTATTTGTATAGCGCCA